AACTAAAGGTTTATGAACTCTTAATCAAGAGGAATTAATCCAAGCTCAAGCGAAGTTAAAAGCAGCTCATATTATTATTATCATAGCATAATTGATTTCATATTTACAAATATTTCTTTCACATTTTCTAACCCTATCTCTAACAATTATAACGAATATTTTCTTCAATTTTAAGAATTCATTGATGGCTATTGCAATTGGTATTAGTTATCAAAATGCTGGTTGGCTATTGACCTGGTGTTCGGGCAAGTCACGAAGACAACGCGGATGTCAATGCAGATGACCTTTAGCCAGCTGTGAGCTCGGCGTTCTGTGCTGCAATCTGTGCTGCTTGTCGGCATCATAATGAAGCTTTCATGTCGCAATATGAAATGCAATTGCCATGCCTCAAAGGGACAATGGTTAAGAAGCATGAAAGCAGTTTGCCAAAGCCTCTGGATACCCTTTGCGGAGTCAGCTTTTAAGTTGTTTGCTAAGCCGCCACCGTTGCGGGGCTCCAGCTGTAGGTGGTCCGCTTAGGTAACCCGAGAGTTTGGCTGGGCCACTTTGAAGTCTTCACATTTGGATGCAGGTGCACTGCAACAATTATGCTCACACATTATGCACAGCGACAGCCGAAGACAACGCGGCGCAAAAGCCGAAGACACGGAGAAGACAACAAACTCAGCAAAGGGAAAACCAAATGTGAGGTGATTCTAAATTTAGAAGAAACGCCTAGGGGGACCGGCGATATGCTCCCAGACCCAGTCCCCATCTGGGGTCGCAGCTCTAGGTGATTAACCGCACAAGTCCCCAGCCCCAGTCCCAGTTCTCTCCCCTTCACGACCTGTAGCCAACGCCTCGACTGACGTTGATTCTGCTTCGGGACGACGCGACGTCTAATTGCAGCCCGATGCAAGCGAAATGCCTGCGACATCTATTTATACCCTGCACCCAACGAAAGTGTCTAGCAAAGGGTATGTAAGCTATGTGCTAATGCTTGCAATAGGCCATATTTATTAATGCATATTATGAAACTGAATACAAGTTTTAAGAAGTAGAAACTTGAATAAGATTGGGTCTGTCTTTGATACCTCGAAGACTTTTAATATTATTAAGACATATATTAAATATATAAATAAACCTCAGATTCCTATACATAATCTACGCCTGTCACTGTATTTAAAATAATTGGACAATAGAATCAGATATAACTCAGGTATTTCTAAGATTTAGGTAAAAAGATGCACAACAGAGTTTAATACGTGCAGGGTATAAACTAGTCTGTCAGTTTCACTTGCTAAATATATATATTTTTAATTTTTAATAATAATTGGATTTAATTTTCAGTAATTTCTTCATATTTAGTGCTTAAACATGACTTCATGTTTAGTATTTTGTATCAGTATTTTAGTATGTTTTAAATACTAAAATAATTACTGATTACACAGTTCAAATTTAGGATATACTATTTAATGTCTTTTCCACAAATATATTCTAAAATTTAACAGAATAAATTTATTTAAATTACTTTATTTTTTTATGTCTTGAAAAATATTACAAAAATATAGTTTCTGACAAGAAAAACAAATTTTATGAAAATGTATTTCTATTTCACATACTAAAAGCAATTTTTGTGGTTTATTTTGCTATAAAAATACTCGCTTATTATGAAATTTCTTTGTAAAATACTAAAATTTACTTAAGCTTATTAAAATATGACAATTCTGAGGAATAAATTTGATGATCAAATAAAATTGTTAAATGCATTCTCATTCCCAAACTTAATTTTGACATTTTTTATTTTACTTTTTTCTTAGCCATGTCAAGTTTTTTATTTTCATGTTTGGGCTAAATCTATTTTTAGCACTTGACCCGAATTATTTTCCGTTGCTTGTCTCGTTTTTCGAAGATTTTGTGAGGTTTTTCATTTTGGTTGGGAAATGGGGAAACGTTTTTCTTAACATATTTCATTGACCGCAAATTTGTTGTCACTTTTTCTTGGCTTTGGGCAGCGCAATTAATTCTGTGTGTCGAAAACATTCAAGCGCTGTCCAAATTTTGCCGTTTCGCCTGTCTCTAGGGGCAAATGGCATAATTTTAATTGATGTGAACTACAGTTTATAAAATAATAAGAAAAAAATAAAAAAAAATACAATAAAAACAAATGCCTCGAGGCGAAACGAAATGCTCTTTGTGGGCTAAGTGTAGAAATCAATTTGGCCGCCGACAAAAAAGCTGTTAGCCAAGCGCTTTAAACGTGTCCATGAGTAGAACACTTGACGTGAGAGAGTAGTACATCGACTCCATCTCCATCTCCGATTCCGACTTCAACTCGAACAGAACCGACGAATGACCCCCACAAATTAGCACAGCAGCTCCAAAGCTTGTGGCCTGTTATTGAGGAAGTCGTAGACCCCGAGGCCCTGAAACTTACCGAATATCATCTGTTTACAGACAGAGCCCGGCTACGCAGCTAGGCAGACATTTATTTACATGCGTGTGGAGTAAGCTGATCTACAGCCCGTTTCAATAGACACTCATTTGAGTCAACAAACGGAACTTGTTTAGCACCAACTGTATAAATATAAGTTGGGAAAGATTAAACCGGTAGATGTTTGATATTCGTTTCTATTCGTCTATAAACAGATAACAATTGATCGAGAACTGCTCAAGTTACTTATGCTGCTTCTAACAATTATGAAAATATGATATACTTCCATCAACAACGGGATCTCATAATACTATATATATATATATCAAACAAAAAGAAAACGATAGTTTTCTGTCTTTATTATATACTCTATATATGCACTCGTTTCTAAGATTAAAAAAAAACATCTATGTTAATCAAAAAATGTGTTAATATTAATATTCATTTCAAAAATATGGTTTCTTACCACTAAATGTGGTGGTCAGTCGCACTACTATTTTCATGAACACAGCTCTTCTTTAAGTTACATATAAAATATTATTATATATATATTATTTTATTTTTATGAACATAATTTTGTGAACTCTTTCATTATCTGAAAGCTCCTCAAAAATAAATTTCTTTTATATCGATTTAAAAACCATTTTGTGACAGTAACGTAATCAAAAGTTGGTTATCGATCATGCGATAAGATAGATGATCATTCATCATTGGTGATACTCTATATAAACAGAAGAGGCGTAGCAGACCCCACAAAGTATACTTATATGTCAAAATAAGTACATTCTTGATCAGAACAAAGAGCACAGTCAATCTAGCTTTGCCTGCCCGTATGAATGTAGCAATCTCGGCAACTACAAAAACTAGAGACTTTATATACATAGATTTATATTCCTGTAAACCTAACGCAGTGCGAGCTGCTCATGTTTTATGATCGATAATTTGATTCGGTTTATTAGGCTTAGACTGACTACCGTAAGAGCTAGATTCCTGCGTTAAATAGGCAGATTTTAAATGTTTCAGATTTTGGAAACTCCTTTGCGCAGTAAACAGAAGAGGCCAAGATGCCTGTGTATATTTATGAGTAAGTATTGGACTTATATATTTAGAAGTAGCGTGATTGAAACAGCAGCTCTGCTCAACGTTCAGGGTGTTTCCTAGTTGGGAACTCCCGACACGAACACCTTTACTTGTTTATAGAAATAAGTCAGAACTAACTTAATGTGGCAAATTATTCTTGTAATACCTGGAACACCCTATACAAATGTATAAGTAAGTATATAAAAATATTTACTATTAGTCAATTGGTTTATAAGTAAATTTAAAAATATATTCATTGTATAGGAGCTTTGTCAAATTCCACTTCCTCATCTCAATGTGACTAATCCACAGAATATAGGAAAATAATTTGAACAATTGCATTAAAACACCTGGCATTAGTCGTATGCAAAAAATAGATTCAAATCCATCTGGCGTTAAAATAAATCATTCAGTCTGAAGATCTGTATATTATTTGATGTGTGTATTTCATATATAGATTGTTAATTTTCGAACAAACTTATCTTCAAAGCCAGATTCGCATGCGACTTGGTTGGGCGTGCAGTGCTCAATAGTGAAATTAAAAATTGAAATCGCTTCGGCTGCAGATTCAGCTTTTTATAGTATCAATGCTTAGAAGACAACCTACGGAAAGGTAAGCGGCAATACAAAAGAAAAAACTCTCCCTTTCTCGTCTCGTTTCGTTTCTTAGAATAAACCGCCATTCGGAATGTGCCACTGAAAACTAATTAAAATAACAAAAACCAATCAAAGCATAGAAAACATACAGTCCACAATGCTAAACAGAGACTTTTGGGCGAGGGTCCCCCTCGGGGCCCTGGAAAAAGTGAAAATCGTTTCACGTTAACGACATACCCAAACGAAGCTAAATCCGAATTTTATACTGCGATTCGTTTATTATTATTATCTTTTCTATTTATTGCTGGAATTTGTATTTAATAAAGTTAAGAGATTCGTATCAAATAGCATAAAAAGATTTTACGACTCAAAATGAATAATGACCAAGAAAATCTGAATCTTTTGTGAAAGTCGACGAATTGGAAAAACTTTTAAAACAAAAATGAAAAGCTTGATCGGTCGATCGTACTCAGTTTATATATCTTTTGCACTAGATATAGATAAATATAGATATATAATAATATAGATCTATAGATTTACATCGAACACTCTCAAAAATCATTTGGAGCATACATAAATATCTGAGAAGATTAGAAGAATTGGAGTACATGCATAAACAGATTGGATCGCAGCAGCATCCCATTTAAGCAACATAGGAAAACCATTATGGACCATGCTACAAGTCTATAAAAAACAACCCACAAGATATACAAACTGCATCCAACAATAAATTTACACAATGCCATAGCGAGAGCGAGAGCTAGAGAGAGAGGGCAAGTGGGAGTCCCAAATTTATATATTAATCTGCGAAACTAGTTGAGCTCTTCTTCCCCCCGCGTGCAGACGCATACACGCTTTTACACACTCTCACACACACACACGTACGCATACAGCTAATGCGATCACTCACCCTATTGCATTCCAAGGCGGCGGCGCTGTGCTCCTCTCGCTGACGAAAACAATGGCTGCATTTGCTCTTGTTGAATATATTTGGTGAGAATTTACGACAGTCAGCGATGCGTCCGCCGCTCACATTTGGTGGGGGCGACGCAGCTGAAGTCGACGCCGCGTTTGCTGCTGCGGCTGCTGCTCCTGTTGTTGTTGTTGTTGCTGTTATCGTTGTAGTTGACATTTTGGCAGTTGCGCTGGGATATTCGCTCAGCTGCTTCACGGTTTTCAACTTAGAATCTGTCGACAAGCTTTGAGCTCTGCTCAGCAGCTAAATTGATGCTCAGGGCTGAGCGCCATTGCGTTTACACACACACTGTTTGGACTCTCTCGCTCACACACACGGACTCGCTGCCAATGCAAAACGCTGAGCCAATTTTAACAATTTTGCACAATTTACTTTTTTTTACTTTTTACTTTTATTTATTTTCGACACTTGATAACGGTGGCCGCAGGGTGAGTAACGTAGCAGGGGCGGGTTAAAGACCGGGAGAGCCTTACATATTTATGCAAATGCGACGAACAGCTACGCAGTTGCTGTTGTTGTTGTTGTTCTTGTTTAACAGACGCTGCGGCGCAGCAGCCGGCACGGCTTTAACTTTGTTGTTGTTGTCGCTGCTGCTGCTGCTGTTGCTGTTGTTGTTTTTCTTTCCTAATTGCTCTAAAAATAGCAGAGCACTCGCTGAATCAGCTAACCGTTCCCGTTACAACTCACGATATTTCCTTCGCCAACTGTTATGCACGTTAGCTCTGCCCCTTAGATTTTGATATCAAACTTTATATTTTTGGCATAGCAAGCAAATAAATACGAGTGCGAATAACAACATACACATACACACACACGCACACACACTCTCACTCACACACGCGCACACACTATAAAATTATTCAATTTTGCTTTGCACTTGGCTTCTTCATGGGACACCAACAAAATACACGGGCTGGAAGTGTTGCTGGACGCTAACGCGCGCTTTGTAAATGCTGCTCTCGGCACAACGAATCGGTTCGAATGCATACACGACACTGACACGCCAGCCCCAACAAGTCGAGCCGCAACCAGTCGAGCGCCAAAAACAAACATGATGGAGAGGCCAACACCAAGAGAGAGAGAGCACGCAAAACCGGGAGAGCGCTTGAGGTTGTGGTAAAACTATAGTGGCAAGTGTGTGGTAGGTAACGCAACGTTTAGGCTCTCTCTTCATATTCAATTATGAGACTGTTTAAAGTTATGAATTTGTAATATATAAAAATGAACATTGAAACTTAATTCTATACTCCTCAGACCATTTTTTTTGCAAATCTTACAATTCAGATTAAGTCGTTTAGTATGAGTTGCATGTTCTTATACAACCTGTGCATATGCGTGCATATCTCTTGCTTCTGCGTGAGTAAACGCAACGCTCTGACATCACAACAGCGCGCTCTTATACGAGTTCGCTCAGCAACGAAGTAGCCGATCGATTCAATCAGCTGTTTCGGTTGCTTCAAACTTGGTTTGACAGCGAAACTGCTAACTGTTGAGAGTGAGTTTAGCTATAAAACAGCTAAATTCTCTTATCGAACCGTTTGAATTAGAAAACTAAATGCATTTAAGTTATAATTAATAATATATTTACTTTGTTAAGAACAACCTAAGTTACCTTTAATCAATACCCGTATATAACAAATTCTGTTCTAATATTCAACTAATGAGTCTTTTGACCTTTCCTATCATTTGTATCAAATCGAAAATGTTGTGGAAAAGCAGCGCCGGGAAAAGTATCCCAAAACGATTTGTTTACAACAACCGCAGCAACAACAACCTATAATTAACATAACAATTTACTGTACGGTTCATTAAGAGCCTCGGACAACAAATTTTCAAGTGCGCCGCTACAGTTCCAGCAGCGAGCAGTAGAACGAACGAGATAGAAAGAGAGGAAGTGAGGACAGCAATAGAGAGAGAGAGAGAGCGAGACGCAGACAGAGAGCGCGACGAACCCTTTTTACGCATCTCCAAGCGGCGCAACAATAACAAAGAAAGCAGAAAATAAAAACAGTTGATTAATTGCATGCGATGAGGGAGGGGTAAGGAAAAGCCAAGGGCATAGGAAGGAGGGGGTAGAGGAAGGGTTCAAACAGCATGCGTCTTGCAAGGGCAGCGAAACACTCGATCAAATATTTTGACTGACCCCTTGGGATGTTGGCGCACCCGCAAAGTTGACTTGAATACCCTACCCAAGGGCATATCAGGCCGAACAGAAGCTGGACAAAGTGGGGAAATGTTGCTACTTCAAACTATAAATAAATAAATAAAACTATAATAAATAAATAATATATATATATATATATATATATTTTTATATATATTCTAACACTCTGATCTATCTCAAGTTGATAGCAAAGCTCAGTTTTTTCCTGATTATTTTTATATATAGTAGTAGCCTTATACCAATAAGAATCTGTGAGTACATTATAGCTCAGTTGGATAAATGATATACGAGACAATGCTGGAACAATGGAATACTTGTAAATGAAAACATTTACTATTTACAAACAAAATTAAATTGTTTAAATAAGCGTTCCTTTCACAGAGTTTCCGGTTTCATTGTTGTTTATATTTCAGTGTATATATCTATTGTTAAAGATCACGTTTTACTTAGTCAGAATTGATGTTGATTGAATTTCATGGAATAAAAGAATCGATCTGAAATCGCTATCCCCAGCGATCGTTTGACAGCTCTATTGGGAGTTGTCACAGAACTAAGCAAAATTTAATAAGGATAATTGAAGAAGTATATGAACTTGTTTGGATGTGAAAGTTAATGCTGATTAGGGTTTAAAGATTAAAGTTTGGAATGAACTTATTCTGGATACGTTATTCTATATATAAACATATAAAACAACCCGACTCGATATATTAAACGTTATGCTATCAATATCTTCGGATCACTAGGACCATAAGACTTAAAAGTATGTTGATCTATATATAAGAGATTAATCCTAATCCATTTGCTGGGCTGAAGACTTTGCCTTCAAAACTGATATAGATATTGCTTCTTCGTATTTAACAAGCTTCAGATGGCGTCTATATAAAATGTTTTGTGAATCTTTAGAATCTAGAAATATTGTATATTACATAATATCTTCATGATATATATATATATATTTAAATTTGAGTAAATATAGCTGTCGATCAGTGTATGGCTAATTCACTTCTTGAGATTACTTAAATAAGAAAACATTTTAATATGATTTCTAGTGATACACATTGAATTTTAGTAATATCTATATATAGTTTTCGAGCTTAAAATTAATTTAATTTAAGTAGTTCAATTAATTACTATCAACTTTATTAAAAAATGAAAAAATAAATATTTTGCTATAATATAATTTTTTATAATAATTTATCAATCTTCAAACTGGAAATTCAATATAGTTATATTTTATGTAGTAATGTATGTATGATTTACCTATATATTATAACTTTTAAAGAATTTATTTCATTTGATAATCTCTGATCGAAACTTTTGCTTCGATAATTCTTGAAATACCTGCTAAATGCATTACAACATATTGAATTTTCTATTGCTGATGTTGTTGTTGTTGCTGTTGTTGTTGTTATTGTTGTTGTTGGCTGACGATCGTTTTTTTCCCATTTAGCACTCGCATTCAAATGTCAATCGAGTCACGCGCGTCGCTACGACACACACGAGAAAAAAGACAAAAATTGGAGACAATGTAAAACCCAATTCCCCAGATATTTTGATACACTTGCACTGAGGGAGTTTTAATTGTTGCGCCGAGAATGCGGAACAATTCAAAACATTTAAATAAAAAAAAAAACAAACTATTAGAAACTAGGTGAACGAAAGTTCATTCCGGCAATTTTTAAGTTTGTTGAGAATACATATATATATATATATATATTCATATGTATATAAAGACCAAATTTGATAAAGAAACCAGGTGTATTTGTATTTGTATATATATATATATATATATATATATATACTATATACTATGACTCACCTGCCTTATACATATATTACCAAAAATATCCGGAAAACAAAAAAATTATATTGTCGAAAACAACAAAAAGATTCTAACTACTTTATATTAAACACTTTATTAAATTTGATTAAATATCTTTTTATGTTATATTATAGTCTGCAACATACTATAACTTAGTTGACAATTTAAAAAACATTAATAAAAAAATATATAAATATTTAACGAAAAATTTAATCATCGATGATTCAAAAATTTTTCGCAAACTTTTTTGTAAAATGTTTTCAAAGGATATACAAAATATTCAACATTAATGGAGAAACTGATGATTGCGAGATTTTTGTGATTTATATGATCCATATTAAATGTTGGCATAACTTTATTTTGAAGAAGGACGATCCAATAACAATTGCATATGGTATTCTTTTAATGGTGTGTCAGCGAGGGAGTCGCTTCGATCGACTGTGCCGCAACTGTGGTGGTAAAAGGAACCGAACTTGAGCCACGAGCAGAGAGGCGGTGCGAGGGACACGAGTTGAAAAGAGAAGAAGAAGTGAGTAATAAAACAAAAGAAAGTGAAATGGAATCTGAAATGAATTCTGGGGAAACATCCCATACCCATATATAATATATTTATGTATGTTTACACAACCAAAGGAGACTAGACTTTTCAGTCATTGTAACTAAATTCCACTGAACACCAAATCTGGCTGGCAATGGGAATCAGCGCACGGAAATGCTAAGGCAGTAGCAAAGATGTGATTAACTAATATAACAAATGAGATATATGACTTTAGTCAAAGTTACTTAGAAACGCTAATTGGTGAATCTAAACATAGAAGCATCTTTTACAATTAGGCAGATCATTGGTTGCAATTTCACAATACAGAATCTCAATACTTGTATTTTTCGGAATTTTTTAAGCTATATTAAAAAATAAAGAGAAATTTCAATTTGGCCTAAACTTAAACTTGAACATTAAGTCTTAGCTATTTATAATACAGAGTAAAGTTTCAGTGTTATAGATCATTTCTTCACTATAAAGGAATTCAAAGCCTTTTTGATTAGCAAACGTTGTGGAAACACAGTGGAGCCACTGCCTATAAAACGCGACAAAAATCACAGTATTCATGGCAACAATTGACCAAATAGATGAATTAAGTTTATATGTATATATATTATTTATATATATATATATATATATATATATATATATATATATATATATATATATATATATATATATTAAAAATATTTGTATATATTTTATTTTATTTTTATATTGCTTATTTTTATTTATTTAAAATATATGTTTAAAAAACTCCAGTACTAGTTAAAAAAGCAGCTAAAAATAAAAAAAGATAGCAGCCTCAATAAAAATTGAAGAATTTAAATTCTAATTCAAAGAAAATATTAGTCATCATAGTTATTAATAGTTAGTTAATCATTAAAAACAGTTCTGGAAGGAACTGAAAATGAAGTTACATTGTTTCTTCGTTCTATTGAATTACAAGAAAATTATTGCTAAAGAGAAGATATTTGGGCCTCATAAAGGCGATATATTTGTTTACAACAAAATAAAAAAGTTATGCTTTTCTATAAATTAATTTGAAAGCTATTCTTTTGTTATATATTTCAAAGGTTTTTTCTATATGTTGAGTTGCAATTTTATATATTAATTATATTAGAGCATGAGTTACCCCACAAAATGTTGCTTAATAGTATTGAATAATGCGTAAACTGGGATATTTTTGTTAGCTATTTGCAGTCTCGAAATTATTTAAATGAAGTCAAGCAGTTTAAACTCATTTTAGGAATAAGAAACTTTACTCTGATGATCAAAAATCA